TCCCCCTTATCTTTCAGAGAGGTTCCCCCTTATCTTTCAGAGAGGTTCCCCCTTATCTTTTAGCTCCTTTGCCTGAGCTGCTTTCCAAACCAAAGCAGTGGCTGCTTTGCATAGAATATTTTCCAGAGCAGAGCAAGGTCAGCCAGGCAGAAACACCAACCCCCAGGGTTCACCACCCCAAATCCATCCCCACAGAGGGCAGGTGCTGGGCCCAGCACTCTGCTGATCTCCAGGGAATGCTGGCAGACAAGGGCAGCAAAACCACTTGGGGAGGAAGGATTTTCATCATCACACATTTGCAACACAGCCCTTTCTTTTAATTTTTTTTTTTTTTTTTGCAGTGTTATCTTTCTGCCTTCCTCTTACCCTCCAAACGAACAAAAATGTGTATTCAAGGGGTGGGGAAGGCACAGCTGAGTCAACAGCACATGGCTGAGGCTGGGGGTAATAAATTCAGGAATATCCTCAGTTGTCAGAGCACTTTGAAAGTCACCACTGCAGACACAAGGGGTGACACAAACATGGTCACAAGTCCTGGAGGGTCCCAGCTGATCCCAGAGCCACGGGCTGGACCCTGGATCTGCCCCCTTTCCCTTAGGCAGGGAGCTCTGAAATCACCAATTCATGGGAATTCTGCACCTTCCCCAACAGAGCGCCTGTCCCTGCCCCATGACCCCAAAATTTCTGTCATTTTCTGCCTTCTTCACTCAGAATTCTTGCTCCATTTGGGTGAATTCTGGGTGAATCCCTCCCTTTGGCTGTTCCTGAGCTGATCCACAGCTGCTTTCCCGTGCTGGTGTCGAGCATTTGGAAAACAATTCCACGTTTAAAGCTGTAACTTGTGCTGGTCTGTTGCACTTGTGTTTTGACCTTCTGATGTTGATAGATTTTCTTTTACTTTTTTTCACCCTTTTTTTTGGTAAACAGTAGATGTTTTGCATTCCTCTTTGGAAGACAAGAAAACTGAAGGACATGTGATGAACCAGTGAACTCAAGAGGTTTTACTATCACTGTCCAATCCATGATTATTGTTGGAATTCTATAAATAGACATGTAATGTAAATAAAGAGGTTTTTTCCTGCTCGACTCCCTTGGAGTCAAGTGTGAGTCTCTCTCTCTCTCTCTCTCTCTCTCTCTCTCTCTGTGACATTGATCTGCTCTGGAAAACTCTCTGAACAGGAGCTCTGGGTGTTCCCAGCTGGAGGGAAAAGGGATTTTGAGGCATCCTGAAGGGAATGAAGCAAAAGAGCTCTTTGAGTACAATAAAGACTAAAGGGAACTTTTCTAAACTGGAAAATCTCTGATTTGTGCCCTCTCGTGGCAGTTGAATTTTTCTTCTCCTCAGTGCAACTCCTGCACTTTCAGACCCAAATCTTTGGGGTTTCATGCTGAAATTCCCAGCAAAGAGACTGTCAAATGCTGGTGTTTCTCTGTCCAGGAAAAGTGGGGAAAACCCCGAGGTCCATATTTGATATTTTGTGCTGTCTGCATGACTTTGCCCTTCAAACAGTTTATGGGGATTTGATGGGTGGCAAATAAAAAAAAAAAAAATAAAGCTTCAGGGGCTGGAGAGTTAGAAAGGGAATCCCATGAGTGTCCAAACACCCAGCAGCACTGAAATTCTCTTTTTATTTTGCTCTCTCTGCAGACAAAAAGCGCTGGCATCGACAGGTGGAAGGAGTGTTCAAGCAGCATGCGACTGGTTGGTATGAAGTAATAAATGTTCAAAAGTAGAAGGAATGGTGAATTTAGGGTTCCAGCCATTAAAATGTGAAATGTTTGAACAGGAGTGTTGTCTGAAAAGCACCTGCAGAATTAGTGAGGTGCTGTTGAAGGGCTGGAAATAAACAATCCAGAAATGAGCCTGCTCTGAGAGGGTTTGTGATGCAGCAAAAGCAGGAGCAGGTGAGAGCAGGAGCCCCCCACTCTGTGAGGCTGAGCACAGAAGCTGAGAGCTGCCTTCTCCTCCCTGTGCTCTGCACTCTGAAAGGCAGGAAAGGCAGAAGCAGTGACCTGGGTTAGATCTTCAGAGCGTCTGCCTGAAAGTAAAACCCAATTTTCTTTATTACTGAGCAGTGCTAATGGGCTGCAAGTGAGGCAGAGCTGCTTTTTCCCATCAGGGCACGACGAATGGGAGCCAGCACAGGGGAAGCTGGTTCTGTTGGGGGAAGAAATGTGTCATTATCTCTCCGTTTAACAATTCTTCCTGCCTGCCAGGCTCTTCTCCCACGTGGGTGACCCGTTCCTGGATGACACCCTGCCCCGGGAGTACGTCCTGTACCTGCGCCCCACCGGGCCCCTGGCACAGAAGCTCTCGGAATTCTGGCAGCAGTCGAAGCAGATCTGTGGCAAGAACAAAGCTCACAACATCTTCCCACACATCACCCTCTGCCAGTTCTTCATGGTAAAGCACAGCTCCTCTCTCCTCTCTCCTTTAGCCATTCCTTGCCAGGCTCAGCCTGGAGATTCATCCTGGCTCGGGGGGGAGCTGGGGGGATTTTGCTGATGCTTGGGCTTTGGGTTTTTAAGCTGTTGTTTTCAGGGAAGAGCAGCAGCAGAAGACTGAATTCTCATCCTCTCCAGTGATCCTTAGCGTGAGAATGGGTGGGGGGAGGTTGGGAAGGTTACTTGGGGATAGCTGATCCTGCTTTGAGGACAAGGGAGGGGCCGAGGATTTCTAAACATAGATTTTTTTTAATTTTTTTTTTTCCCATGCCCCTGTGCTTTTTCTCACTGCACGAGGGGAAGGGTAGACCACTGGCACCCACCCCCATCCTTTCCTTTCCTGAGCCATGCCTGTCCTGTTTCCTTGGCAGTGTGAGGACTGCAAGGTCGATGCTCTCACAGAAGCCCTGCAGGCCACGGTGATGCGCTGGAAATGCAAATTCCCTGCCCCGCTGCCCCTGGAGCTCTACACATCCTCCAACTTCATCGGGCTCTTTGTCAAAGAGGAAAGTGCTGAGGTGCTCAAGAAGTTTGCTGCAGACTTCGCTGCAGAGGCAGCTTCCAAAGCAGGTGAGTGACTCCAGCCTGGGCACTGTCAGAAAAAACAAAGTTTGGATGCCATGGAGGAGCTCAGCCTGGGCATTGTCAGAAAAACCAAAACTTGGATGCCATGAGGAAGTAAAGCAGCTGTCACAGCACACATTTTGGGCATTTTCAGAACCCCAAAGCTCTGATGCCACCAAGAAGTAAAGCTCAAAAGCAAATCTCTGATTTTTAAGTGAAAACTCAGGGCAGCACCCCACTGGGTGCTTTGGCTTTTCAGCTGGGAGATCTCTCACCCCCAGTTTTCAGAGCTGTTTCTGAAAGGGAAGCTGACATTTCACCTTAACCTTTCCCAGAGCTGCTCTGACCAGGGCTCGGTGTCTCCTGCTCAGCCACCACCACAGAACTTCCCCCAACCATCTCAAGGCCGTGGTTGTTTTTTTATTGCATTTCTGAGGTGTGAGGACCCCAAGTGTCCTTCCCAACCTCAGTGCTCCCAGAGCTGTGTCCGTGATCCTCTGCTGCTTCTGGAGGGGGAATAACCAGAACCTCCATGGTCTCCACTGCTGAACAAAACCTTGCTGAGTGTCCTCCAGTCACCTCCAAACTGGGAATTCACAACACCCTGGGAGCACTGGAACATCTCCCTGGATAATCCTCCCCCTCTCCATCACTGGAGAGCTCAGCTGGGACTGCCCACAGCACAAGTGCTTTAGTCCTTCCCTATCCCAGGCTTATCCTGGAGCTAAAATACATCAAAAATCAGCAAATTCTGCATTCCTGGGGGGTTTCCATGCCGGGCAGGCACCCCACAACCATGCAGGAGTGCTGGGAGTCTGTCCCTGCTCCAGAGGAGGGAGCCAGAAGTGTCCAGAACCTCTGGAATCATTGCTTTCACCTGACCTAGAACTTCCCTTCCCTTTAGAAGAGGGAGGGAATTTTATCTTTAAAAGGAAAATTTTGGAAGGCAAACATTGGGTGGGTGCAAGGACACTGCAGCCACGTGAGAGTGGGATCAGTGTTTCCCTGCAGCACAGCCAAAAATGTAATTTTTATCCAAAAAAAAAACCCCACTGACCCAGAATAAAGAAGCATTGGTGGCTTCTAAGAATCTTCTGCCCCTGAGATTGTTCCAATTCAGGCCAAATTGGGGATTTTTAGGGGAAGGAAATTGCTGCATTGCAGCCACAGCTTGGTCGGGTTATCCCATTAAAGTCTCTAGGGTTTTTTCAGAGATCTTGAACATATTTTTTATTGCTGATGAAAAACAACAACAAAAAAAAGATGGATGAGCTTGCAAAGCTACCCCTGGCTGGCACTTGGAGCCAAGTCTCTGAAAAGCTGCAATTGTGACTGAATAATCAGTTAAATTTAATTGCAATTTTTGGTTGAATAAGCAAGAATAAATTACATACAAACAATGTATCCTATGATTTCCACATCTACTGGAAGAGCCCAAATATTTCACATATTTTCACCTGGAATCATCTCCTGATACAGATTCTTTTTTTTCTGCAGGATCATTTTGAATCATTATTATATTTCCACAATTTGGGAATACCTCACCCTCAGTGGTTAAACTGATAATCCAACTAATGTCCAGGGAAAAGATTTAATCAACTTGCACAAATTCCATGGATTTGTAATTTAGTGCAGCAGAAAGAACAATGGAGGGAGAGTGAAAATTATGCTTTTTTAGCCTTTTTATTTTGGAAAGAACCTCAGCTGCTTGTGAAAGCCTCCTGGATTTTCCTACCTGGAAAAACGTCCTTTTTATTTTTGGCAGGATGTGTGTCCAGAGTTGCAATAATGATTGTCACAGCATTGTTTGGCAGGTTGTAAGGATGCCTTGTCTGGCACCCTGCTGTGACTCAGGGCTGAATCAGACCCCAAATCTGTGATTAATTGGAATATTGGAGACCTGACACTCGCAGCATTTCCAGCTGCACTCCAGTTTGTTCCACCTGGGCATCACTGCGAGCCCAGCTCCCGCTGAGTGGCAGACAGGAGGTTTTTAACCCTTCTCTCCCCATTGCAGATGTCCACGTGGAGCCCCACAAGAAGCAGCTCCATGTGACCCTGGCCTATCACTTCCAGAGCAGCCACCTGCCCACGCTGGAGAAGCTGGCCCAGAGCATCGATGTCAAGCTGGGCTGTGACTGGGTGGCCGCGATCTTCTCCCGCGACATTCGCTTCGTCAACCACGAGGTGACCTCCTGCAGCTCGCTTCATCCTCCCCCCCCAAAAAAAATAAATCACCACTCTGCTGCAGATCCCCTTCCACTAACAACCCTTCTGTGCTTTTTCTCCCCCAGACTCTGCAAGTGATCTACCCCTACACCCCCCAGAATGATGATGAGCTGGAGCTGGTGCCGGGGGATTTCATTTTCATGTCCCCAGTGGAGCAAACCAGCACGAGTGAGGGTTGGATTTATGGCATTTCCCTTGCCACTGGCTGCTCGGGGCTGCTGCCTGAAAACTACATCACCAAGGCAGATGAATGTGGGACCTGGGTGTTCCATGGGTAGGTCAAGCTGTTCTCTCCCCTTCCCATTGAAAAAGGGGCTCAGTGATGCCTGGAACAGAGGCTGGGCAGAGTTAAAGGAATAAAGCAGGGATTTATTAAAAGACTTCAAAGGATTCACCTTGGGCAGCACAAGAGCCTGGCCATGGCTACACCCAAGATGGGCTCAGAGTCTCGAGTTCTCACACTTTTATCAGTTTGGGTCCATTCCCATCTTGGGGTTCATTGTCCAATCCCAGCTCCAGGCTCTGCAGTCCCATCCTCCCAGATTCTCTCCTCAGTTCTCTGCTGTTTGCACTTTTTGGGGCTGGAGCTGCAGCGTGTCCTTGGTTGTGGGGCTGGAAAAGGATTGTTTGGTGTGCCTGAGCTGGGAGGAGAACTTGCTGACACTTTATATGAAATTCAGAGTCACACACTAATACAGCACAGAATCTGGAAAATGTGAAAGCTCGAACTTAAGGCATCAGCAGCAGCTGGGATTTCAGCTGGAGAGGTGAGGAGGGATGCTGAGAAGGGCACTGAGGGCAAGGAGCTGGCACACAGAGCCTCATCCCATCAGCCAAGGAGCAGCAGATGCTCTCCCTTAGCGTGGGATTAGAGGACAAGGTGATTTTTGGAGCTGAGATGTTGCAGCAGCTCACTGTGACTCGCAGGATTGCTGCTGGTCCATGGAGCTGGAGCAGATGGCTGCTGGAGGCACTGCTGGGCAGGCACCTCTGGGGTGGGCTGGCATCAGGAAGGTGTAAATTTGAGCATTCATTCGGGAAGAGGCATATTCTGTGCATAATTCCCTGCTGAAAAGGACTTTGCATCAGCAACATTTCCTAGGATATTTAGCAAGATTTTTAGGAGCCTGCCGTTGGCTTCAATGAGAATGCAGCCCTCACCTTTTGAATGATGTTATACCCCTTGATTTTGGTGGGAATTCATTAAACAGAATGCTGGTGCTGACATCACTCATTTATCCCTGCCAGAGCAGGGCAGACAAGGCAGCATCCAGAAGACAGGAGCTGGAACCAGGATTTTTGGGGAAAAGCTTCCAAACCATGACCTGTCCTTAGGAGATGACTAAGCTGAACGGGCTCAGCAGTTTGTGTTTTCCAGCAGCACTGGAGACAGGCTGGTGGCTCTTCTCCAGGCACACTCAGAGTTTGCCTCTGCCTCATCACCATTCCCAGCAAATCCTGCCATCTATAAATAGATGGTGAAGTGTTTGTGGCCTTTATTAAAAGGCTTAGAGAGAAAGAAAGGCTCAGAAATTGTGTGGCAGCTCCTAGGGGCAAAGGGAAGTGGGGTAACCAAAAAATCCTTGATATTCTCCAGACCAGTGTCCTTAAAAAATGTCATATGGGCAAGGCAGGAAAGGGATTACATGGGAGGAAGGGCTGACAGCTGGAAGAAATTCTCTTTGTACAGAAATACAGATGAGTCCTAAATAAGAACTGAAATTCTGTTCACACTGAGATTCTGTTCACATTGAGACATTCAAGTTCTGGGGTCACTGAGGATGGATCAGGGCTGACTCCAATGCTCCACCTGCATTTGGGCAATGAGGGGAACAATTGCTCAGGGCAGGGCCAGCCCATATTGGGAATTCAGGAATAATCCCTTAGCTCAGTGTCATCCTTGCACCCTAATTCCACCAGATAATAGATCAGGACCAACATCAGTGGGTTTTAAACTCCTTTAAATCATATAAATCATGCAGGTAACCTATTTTTGTCCCACTGGCAGAGCCACTCAGGGCTATTTTAACAGCTGTGAAACCCCTCTGAGATTTTATCCTAACTGGCTGCTAGCAGGAAGCAGCTCCTGATGTATTTAAGGCACTGAAAAGTGCCAGCTCTGGCAACTCTTTCTGTCAGAGTCACTGTCCACATCCATTACCTGATAATGTTCTTTTTTTTTTAATGACTAAGCAGAGGTAACTGAGTCAGCAGAGGGTCGAGGCAGCTTCTGCAATTGCCTGTCACAGTTTAGTCCCCAGGGTTCTGGTCAAAGTCTTTGAATATCTGGGAATAAGAGCTTTATTCAGAGGGACCATCATTAGGCAAGGCCCTCGAGGGAGAGTGGGGGCTGTTAAATCCCTTTGGCTGCACTTAACAGGAAGCACTGGGGAATAAATTCCCAGGCAGGTGGGAAGGGGAATAGGCAGCTCTGAAAAATGCAGGAAAACAGGGCTGAGTGTGCCAGGTCCCTGCCCAAAGCTTCTTTGGGCACAGGAACCCTGAAAACTGCCCAGGGAGAGACCTCAGCTTTCTGCTGAAGCCACAGATTGTCCTAGAAAGGTGAGTGAAAACTCCCTGTAGCCATTAATTCCCAAATCTGGGACCACAAATCCATGGGCGGTGACATGGACTGGTCCCCAGGTGATGTTAGTGAGTGTCCTGTTGTCATCAGGAAGGTCCTGGCATTTCCCATGAGAATATTCCAGGGTGGAGAGAGCCCCCCCCAGACCAAGGTTTGGGAATTGTTCTGTAAATTGTTTCTAAGGAAACATCCAGGAGATGGAATTTGTCTCCTCACGTGTGTGCATCACCTGGCAAGGCGCTCTCTGGGCAGCACTAAAACCCAAATAATAATGAAACAACATCACAGCAGTAATTACCACCGGCTCCTGAAGGCTCCTGAGAGCAGCCTGAGCACAAAAAGCATTCCCAAAACCAATATTTTTTCTATTTTTGGCAGGTCCTACTCCATTCTGAACACCACACCTTCCCCATCCTTTCAAGCCTTCGCTGATGGAGCTCTGGAGAGAAGGCAGCAGGAGGACCAAGGGCCAGGGGATGCTGGGCCACTCACCATCATCTGCCAGAACGTGCAGGTAGGGACCCTGAAACCATTAGGGACGAGCTTCCAGTGAATGGATTTTTCCCAAAAATTTATCTTTTCACTCCCTGCAGCACAAGTTATGGAGTTTTTGAATGACACAACCCTGTCCCCAAACTGAGGTGGCAGAGCCCCATCCTCTGCTCCCTTCAGCACCATAAATCCACCAGGATTATAAATTCCCAAAGAGCTCCACAGAGCCATAAATGCAATAAATCCTGGAGCCTTCCCTGTCATGTTTGCACAAGGACAAAGCAGGAGGAGCCTGGTGCTGGCTCCTGTGGGTTTGATGCCTGGAGAGGCTCCTGGAACAGAGGCTGGGCAGAGTTAAAGGAATAAAGCAGGGATTTATTAAAAG